AGGCTTCAGAAGGGCTTCAGGGGCTTCAGGGGGCTTCAAGGGGGCTTCAGAAAGGTTTGAAGGGGGTTTGAGCAAGGTTCGAAAGGTGCTTGAGAAAGGCTTGAGGCGGGCTTGAAAAGTTTTTGAGAGGGTTGAGGCTTGAAGGGCTTAAAGAAAGTTTAAGGGAGAGCTGATGGGAGAATGGCTTCAGGGGGGCTGGAGAAGGGCTTGAAGGGGGCTTGAGAAAGGCCTTAAGGGAGTTTGAGAAGGGTTTTCAGGGGCTTGAGAAGGGGTTGAAGGGGCTTGAAGGAAGCTACTCGCTTCCTTATTGCATTTTTCCTTTTTCCGCATTCAATGTGTTTTCCTCGCTCCAAGTTTGCAAGACTCACGGCAGAGCTGGCTGACGTGAGAGGCTTGGGGAAAGAAGCTGCTTTGTACCATTTCACATTTCGGTTTAACCCGCTTCATATTGGATTCTGTGATAGTAGTAGTAGTAGTGGTGGTGGTAGTAGTGGTAGTGGTAGGAGTAGGAGTAGGAGTAGGAGTAGGAGTAGGAGTAGGAGTAGGAGTAGTAGTAGTAGTAGTAGTCGTAGTCGTAGTCGTAGTCGTAGTCGTAGTCGTAGTCGTAGTCGTAGTCGTAGTCGTAGTCGTAGTCGGAGTCGGAGTCGTAGTCGTCGTAGTCGTAGTCGTAGTCGTAGTCGTAGTCGTAGTCGTAGTCGTCGTCGTAGTAGTAGTAGTAGCAGTAGTAGCAGTAGTAGCAGTAGTAAGTAGTAGTAGTAGTACTAGTAGTAGTAGTACTAGTAGTACTAGTAGTACTAGTAGTACTAGTAGTAGTAGTAGTAGTAGTAGTAGTAGTAGTACTAGTAGTACTAGTAGTACTAGTAGTACTAGTAGTACTAGTAGTAGTAGCAGAAGAAGTAGTAGTAGTAGTAGTAGAAGAAGTAGTAGTAGTAGTAGTTGTGGTAGTAGTAGTAGTAGTAGTTGTGGTAGTAGTAGTAGTAGTAGATGATCTAAATTCTGAAGAAGGTCAACTATTTACTTGCGTCTCCAAAATTTTCTCAATTGCACCGCCTGATCACTTGCGCCTCAAACTGCTCACTTGCGCCTCCAATACTCACTTGCGCCCCCCAGCCTACTCACTTGCGCCCCCCTTCCTGCCTTCCACAATGCCATGATCTAAACTCGAACTCTTTATTTAAATTTCCCCCCCTTTGCCTTCCACAATGCCATGATCTAAGATCTAACTCTTTATTTAAACTTCCCACCCCTTGCCTTCCACTATGCCATGATCTAAAACCTAACTCTTTATTTAAACTTCCCCCCCTTGCCTTCCACTATGCCATGATCTAAAATCTAATTCTTGATTTAAACATCCCCCCCTTGCCTTCCACAATGCCATGATCTAAGATCTAACTCTTTATTTAAACTTCCCACCCCTTGCCTTCCACTATGCCATGATCTAAAACCTAACTCTTTATTTAAACTTCCCCCCCTTGCCTTCCACTATGCCATGATCTAAAATCTAATTCTTGATTTAAACATCCCCCCCTTGCCTTCCACAATGCCATGATCTAAATTCTAACTCTTTATTTAAACTTTCCCCCCAAGGCTTCAACGCTCGAAGCCACCTTAAGGTACCTTAAGGAGGCTTGGAGGGCTTTGAAGGTGCCTTCTGGGGGCTTCAAAGAATTCGTCCAAGCCCGCTTAATAAGGTATCTTCGAAGTCTTCGGCGAAGACCCCGGAAGGTACTTTTGTCGAAGCCCCCTTAAGGTACCTTCGAAAGCTTCAAAGCAAGGTACCTTCCTCGAAGGTCAACTATTCACTTGCGTCTCCAAAATTTTCTCACTCGCGCCGCCTGATCACTTGCGCCTCAAACTACTCACTTGCGCCTCCAATACTCACTTGCGCCCCCAGCCTACTCACTTGCGCCCCCCTCCCTGCCTTCCACAATGCCATGATCTAAATTCTAAGTTTTTATTTAAACTTCCCCCCCTTTGCCTTCCACAATGCCATGATCTAAATTTTATGTTTTTATTTAAACTGCCCCCCCCTTGCCTTCCACAATGCCATGATCTAAATCTAACTCTTTCTTTAAACTTCCCCCCCTTGCCTTCCACAATGCCATGATCCAAATTCTAAGTCTTTATTTAAACTTCCCCCCCTTGCCTTCCACAGTGCCATGATCTAAACTCGAACTCTTTGTTTAAATTTCCCCCCCTTTGCCTTCCACAATGCCATGATCTAAAATTTAACTCTTTATTTAAACTTCCCACCCCTTGCCTTCCACAAGGCCCTTCAAGCTTTGCTTGAAGGGTACCTTCAGCCCTTCTCACCTTCGTCCCCGCCCCCCCCCGGGGAGGGACCCTTCAAGCCCCCCTTGAAGGGTACCTTCGAAGGTGGTGGCTCGGATCCAGCCCCCACGTGCAGACGTTGGAAGAGGCCTCCAAGCTCCACCTCAAGTCACGCAGAGTTTGGATCGGCATACAAGACCCAGCGTCCCCATTTCGCTCACTTGATGCTGAGGCTCGTGAAGCACTACAGTTGTGGGAGAAGCTATTGGTGTCGACTCCTTTTTTTCTTTCTCTGTCTCCAGCTTCGTTCCTGCAGATTACAGCCACAGCGGATGCAATGGCGTCACAATCAGTGGCAGGGTTGGGAGGTGCTGCCTTTTTCCCAGATGGTACATGTGTCTGGTTTCAATTCCAGATTACACTGGCACAGGCCAACGAACATTGGCACTGGGTCGGTTCTGACATGCAGAAGCACATTGCCGCGCGGGAGCTGTTAGCACAGTTTGCTCTCACGGTGCATTGAATCTCGCTTGCTCCGAGGTCGAGGTCCAATTGCGTGCCAACAGGGAACAGACAACAGTGCAGCTGACGCAGTTTCAGCCAAAGGTTTGTCGATGACACCAGCGGTCTCCGCTGTGCTGGCACCATACTTCACGTTCATGAGGCGCTTCCACATTTTTCCCAAAATGACTCACGTCCTTGGTCATTTGAACGTCATTGCGGACTCGTTGAGTCGATTCAAGCAGCCCCTTCCTGAACCACTCACAGTGGCAGATTGCTGTGTTGTGCGGTGGCAGGAGCTGCTTGCATCTTCTCCAGTCTTTATGGCGCAGACTGGCCGAAAGTGGCCTTCTCAATTTGGCGTCGGCATCAAAAGTGTGCCGCAGCAGTCCACTGACTGTGGGTTCCCTCAATCGATTTTACTGTTGGGGAGTTTTGGTCTCCGGCTGGTCGATTTTCGATTTGTCCTTTAGTTTGCTACCCCGCTTTTGGGTATGTATATCTGCGTTGTTAACTGTTGATCTGGGGGGTTACAATTTGATCCAATAGGTCTGAACCTACTGGAACCCGCTGGTATCTTTTTGGTTGTAGAGTCCTTTGGGATCAATTTGCACCACGCCGAAAAATTGGGGACCCCTGCTGCTGCAGCTTTTGTGTCGTGTACGCTTATGGATGTCTAACCTATGTAAGTTGAAGCAAAGGAAGCTGAACTGTGAATGTGGTTTGTACTTCTTACATAGTTGTTCACAGGTAGGACCCGGAAGTTCATTGGTCCGTTGCCGTTTTGCTTCAAGCTTACATTTCGTACTTCTTCCCTCCACCTTCCCCTGGCTCCACCGTTGTGGCTATGGAGGTGGTGAGTAGTGCTCAATTAACTCCCCACCTGGTTCAACCAGTTTGCTACCCCGCTTTTGGGTATGTATATCTGCGTTGTTAACTGTTGATCTGGGGGGTTACAATTTGATCCAATAGGTCTGAACCTACTGGAACCCGCTGGTATCTTTTTGGTTGTACAGTCCTTTGGGATCAATTTGCACCACGCCGAAAAATTGGGGAACCCCTGCTGCTGCAGTTTTTGTGTCATGTACGCTTATGGATGTCTAACCTATGTAAGTTGAAGCAAAGGAAACTGAACTGTGAACGTGGTTTGTACTTGTACATAGTTGTTGACAGGTAGGACCCGGAAGTTCATTGGTCCGTTGCCGTTTTGCTTCAAGCTTACATTTCGTACTTCTTCCCTCCACCTTCCCCTGGCTCCACCGTTGTGGCTATGGAGGTGGTGACTAGTGCTTAATTAACTCCCCACCTGGTTCAACCAGTTTGATACCCCGCTTTTGGGTATGTATATCTGCGTTGTTAACTGTTGATCTGGGGGGCTACAATTTGATCCAATAGGTCTGAACCTACTGGAACCCGCTGGTATCTTTTTGGTTGTACAGTCCTTTGGGATCAATTTGCACCACGCCGAAAAATTGGGGAACCCCTGCTGCTGCAGCTTTTGTGTCATGTACGCTTATGGATGTCTAACCTATGTAAGTTGAAGCAAAGGAAACTGAACTGTGAACGTGGTTTGTACTTGTACATAGTTGTTCACAGGTAGGACCCGGAAGTTCATTGGTCCGTTGCCGTTTTGCTTCAAGCTTACATTTCGTACTTCTTCCCTCCACCTTCCCCTGGCTCCACCGTTGTGGCTATGGAGTAGGTGACTAGTGCTTAATTAACTCCCCACCTGGTTCAACCAGTTTGCTACCCCGCTTTTGGGTATGTATATCTGCGTTGTTAACTGTTGCCCTGGGGGGTTACAATTTGATTGTGCATGTCACTTGAGACAAAACCTTATGAATGCAAATGCATGTTATCAAACATGCAACGTTCCTCTCAAGGGAGGGTGGGCGGGTTTCGTCACCTTTTTGACTTTCGAGAGCCATGGGAGATAGGGTCTGTAACACACCTCCATTGATTGCTTGGAACAGTTACAGCGATAAGGCCTTGCTCGAGACGCTGCAGGAAGTCACATCAGTTTTGCACAATCGAACTTGCGCTCAGGGAAATTTGCATCCTGCCGCTGATTCAAGTGGCGCTCCTGCAAGCTCAGTCAGTGGAACTACGCCTGTTGCGAACGAACAGGGATTACAGAAACCCTGGTCTTGTGGGTTTACTTGCAGGTGGTGTGCGAGCGCCTGCACCCGCAGAGAAGGGCATAGTTTCCACTCCTGTTACGAGCACAGGCATCGAAGATGAGAAAGCGCTGGAGAGAGCGATTTTCAAGGAACAGAGCAACAGATGAGGACAGCCCTACATCAATGCCAGTCAGCGTTCCAGATGCTGAGGAGCTGTCCGATGCCGAGGGTGATGCCATGGCAATGCAACATGATCTGTTTGGAGGCAGTTTTGATTTTGATTTTTTGGATGATACAAAAGTTTTCACTGGGGCTGGTAGTGCAACAGGTGAGCAACATGGTTTTCCACCCAAACCACCGCAGCTGCCTTTCATGCATGATGAACCAGACAGCCGTTTGAAGTTTGTGGACAAGGGTTCAGGACTTTCTCATGATCAACCAGCCAAATTTGAGAAGGTGGCAACTGCAGTGCCGTCGACAGTGGTTTCAGCAGCTGTCAGATTGACTGACAAGAAGCCCATTCTCTTTCCGTGGGAGAAAGGAAGACTCGGTCGCATCTTGGGTGATCAAGGTCGTCTGAGTTTGAAACAACCCAAACTGCATGCTGGTTCAAACAACTTTGTACAAGTTGGTGTGGGCATTTCAGATGGATTCAAGCTGGATGGTTCGGTTTCTGTGCAACCCGCAACATGTGACAAGGCTATTTACAGGTCGGTAGTCAAACACATTGTGGGCTGCACATACATGGAAGAGCGCGCAGCTCAGCGTGAACATGCAATTCGACAGTGGTGGGATTTGCTCCGCCTCAACCTATCAATGAGCGATCCAGGCAGAGCGGCAGTCCATGAGAAGGGTCTGTCAGACATTTTCAGATATGGTCTTGAGCTGCTTGACGCTGTGTTCGGTTTGAAAAGCCCCGGTACACTGATGAAAAGATTGTGTGCCATCAAACTTTTCAACCAGTGGATCATACGCAACTACACCGAGACCTGGCTACCTCTCCAAGAACGACATGTCTGGAGCTACATCAGGTTTCTACGTGAATCCAAAGCTCCAGCCTCGAGGGCGGTTAGCCTTCTGGAGTCAATTCGATTCTGCCATCATATGCTGAAGGTGGACGGGTCATTGGAAATTCTGGAGAGCTTGCGTGTGAGAGGCTTGGCATCACAGCTCTTTGCAAACAAGAAGCCGTGGAGACCGTCCGACGTCCTGACCGTGAATGATGTGGAGTTCCTGCATCACAGCTTTATGGATTCCACAAAGAGTGACATTGATCGGGTCTTTATTGGGCACCTTCTGCATATGCTGTATGCCAGGGCCAGGTTCAGTGACCTACTGGCCGTGACAGATTTGTTCTTGGACTCCGAGGACGCCTTTCTGGAGGTGAATGCTGCTCTGCACAAAGGTGCCCGAAGCCTGGATGCAAAATCGAAATTGCTGCCAATTGTAGCACCTGCTGTGGGAATCAATGGTGAGAACTGGGCAAAGATGTATCTTGAACTTCGTCGACTGGTTGGCCTGCGCAATCCGAAAGAGGAGCCAGTTCCTATGTTGTTGGCTCCCAACAAAGGAGTGCAAGGATGGAACGAGCGATACATCACTTCCCAGGAACTCAACCATTTCATCAAGCGGCTTTTCATGTCAAGCGGAAGACCCATTGCTGGCAGAAAAATCACGACCCACTCGATGAAAGCTACAACGCTTTCTTGGTGTGCCAAGCTTGGTGTTCCAGAAGAACACAGAGCCATTCTTGCCAGGCATGCGAAAAGTGTACAAGGTGCAACCGTTTTGTATTCCCGTGATTTGATCACCTGTGCCCTGCGCTCGCTGACAGGGGTGCTCACCTCAATCAAGGACAAGGGTTTTCATCCAGATAAGACAAGGTCTGGGATGATTACACCCGCAGCAGCAACACCGGCAGGCGCACCAGTGACGCCCTTCAACATTGCAGTTCCGGTGACAGCTGGGAATCAAGCCGTGCATGGAGCTCAAGCCAACGCAGCTCAAGACATTGCTGGTGATGCTGGCCCTGATGCAAAATCAGATGGTGTGACTGCGGAAGATGCGGCAGGAGCACAGAGCCCAAGTGGCATGGCGTGGGATGGAGGCTCGGTTGGGTATTCGCCAGGCACTCCGTTACAATGCATCCCTGTCAAAGAGGAGTTCACTTGGCCTGACAGCAGCTGGGATGGCTCAGTGATTGACCTTGAAGAGCAGCATGATCTTTTGCGAGATTGGCACTCTGGATCTGAAGAAGAATCCAGTGGGTGCTCCGAGTCAGACGACAGCGATGACTATGTCTGGGAGGAGTCACCGAAGGAGAAGGCAAGCTCCTCCAGAGGGCCAGCTCTTGTGCCAAAGTGGTACATCAATGTGAAGACCAACGTCATCCATGAGAGAAGGAATGACACCACCTTCCGTTGTGGCAGACCTATGGGAGCCACCTACGTAGCGATCCCAGCACTGACTGGGCTGAGATGCGGCAAGTGCTTTGCGCACAGCCTGTGATGCACCTCTCTGTGGGGTATGAAAAAGTTTGGAGCTTGCGCTTCAACATTAAGCTGTTGTATGTCAACAGCTTGGTTTGGTCAATAACAACTTGAAAACTGTTGTATGTCAACAGTTTGTCCAGCATTTGTGAATGCATGCACAAGCTGGTATGTCCAGCACAATTTGGGTTTCATGTCAATTTCATTGCCACATGTGTTGCTTGCGCAATTTGACGTTTTTCTTGTTTTTGCGAGAGTGTTGCCACTTACATGTTCGATTTGAGTTTGTGCAACTTGACATTGCCTCCATGTTGATCATGCAATCAATTTTCATGTTATTTGAGACTTTGGTTCAAGATGGCTGGAGTTCAAGACAGTGAAGCCCACTTCGCTTCACGCGCAGCTGAGTATGGAGTGCCATCCGAATTTGTTGGAAGGCTCAAAGCAGAGGGAATCTCAACGCTGGCCCATTTGGCCTTTGCAATCTTTAGGCCAGGCACTGAATTTGAGGAACGCGCATTTACAGATTGGGCCACTGACAGGAACAATGGGATCCCACTCACCATGGGGGCCGCTGCTGCATTGAGACGTTTGCATTTTGAGAGCGAGGTTGTGATGACAGCTACTATTAGAGCTTCTGTGGAAACACCAGACCCTGGTATTCCAAAAGCAATCCCTTTTGCAGAAAAAGCGGCAAGATTGGATGTCCTGCGCACTAGGTTCAATGGGCTACACATTCATGGTGTTGGGGAGCCATCGCATGCTTTGTTGGATGAAGTTTGTGCACAATTCGAGTCACGCGTCTTGAAGTACATTGAGCCTCAAAGATGCACGAGCAGGGAGCTTGAGATTACCACTGGAAGAACGGATAAAAAGCTCAAGTTGGATGCCGGGACATTAGCTATCAAGGAATCGAAAAGCGTCCCGGACGAAACAATATCCACCACTTTCCACCTTGCTCTATGCCTTAAGAGACGTGGGTTAGCGTATGAATTCGCCAACCTTATCTCTTTTCGAGTGCATGAAATTTATACAGAGCGACTCCTAAGGCACCTCAGCACCGAACCACCTACAGGGTTCCAGGCGACAACTCTTGCCCAGGTCCTTCGTGCCGACAAGGAGGTTTTCAGTGTTCTTGCACAAGGGGTGACTGATATACGCCCTGGCGCTGATGATGTGAAACCTCTGGACGCTGCATTGGAAGCTGCTCTTAAGGAATATACGGTTGCTTTCCATTTGGTGCCTTTGCCGAAATTTGCAGTCAAAGACGAAGTCCAAGCACCTGTGCGGAAGAACTACAATGAGCCTTACCCTACCCAATTTGCAAGCAAGGGTAAGGGCAAAGGCAAAGCTGGAAAAGGTGGGAAGTCATCAGGTTCAAATGCAGCACCAAAGGGATTTCATGGATGCGTGGGACGAGATGCAAAGAACCGTCCTATTTGTTTTGATTACAACATTTCAAGCTGCAACAAGGCACCTGCAGGTGGGAGCTGCCCAAAGGGCAGACATGTGTGTTTCCGCGGCGGATGTTTCAAAGCCCATGCCTTCCGTGAGGCGCATAGCAATGACATGCCAAAAGCTGCAGAGTGACTACAAGGCCCCAAGGCCAATGTGCAGAAGGACTCTCATGCTGTGGTATTAGAGTTATGTTGTGGTACAGCAGGTCTCAGTGCATCGTTTAAACGATTGGGCTTTGATACAATAGCTGTCGACAAACATGTGCCCAAAGCGCCAAAGGCGTCAATTACGAAGCTGGATCTGACACAGTTTTCTACCCAACAGCTTGTGCTCGAATGGATCAGGATGCCACAGGTCAAAGCCGTTTTCATTGCACCTCCTTGCGGAACTGCTAGTAAAGCCAGAACAATTCATTTGGATGATGTTGAAAATTTGCCACAGCCCTTGCGTACAGTGGAACAGCCTGACGGCGTTGACAACTTGGAAGGTTTAGATTTTGTGCGTGTCAGCCAATCCAATGTTTTGTATGATTTTGTTGCTGCTTGCTACGAAGAGTGTTGTGTTTTGGACAAGCTTTTTCTTTGTGAAAATCCAAGAGATTCACTATTTTGGTTGGTCTCACCCTGGGCAGAACGACAATATCAACATATGGCGGTGGAGCAAGTGCATCAAGCATGTGCATACGGCTCCATGCGTCCAAAGTGGACCAAGCTTTCAGGCAACTTTTCCGAAATAGCTGAAATCAACCGAACATGTCCAGGCAATCACAAACATGAACCATGGGGCATGCAGCATGTGAATGGAAGGAGAGTCTTTGCAACAGCTCTGGAAGTGCACTACCCCATGCAGTTGTGCGATGCAATCGCCAACACCATTGTTTTGGCGCTTAGCAAAAAGAATGTTGTGCCTCAGCCCGACCTTTCCATGAATCAAGCAGCACGGGCTTTCTCCAATATGCAACAAGGCACAACCAAGATACCCACATTCCTTCCTGAATTTCGCGCAAAAATTGCTGGTGTTTGGTTGCAACATAGGCAAATTTGGCCTCAAAAACCTTTAGATGTTAATGCATGCAAATTGTTGTATGAAATTTCAGTTGGGGCGGACGATATACAACAACTTGGCATGAAACTGACAGAGCAATGCAATTTGAAATGTATGGATGTTTGTTTTGACAATCTGGATCTGTCCAAGACTGCTGCTTTCCCTTGTACGGTGCAATTGAAAATCTTTGGAGTTTATTTTTCGGAAGAAGAGTTTCTGAACGAAGCTAGGAAAGCCCAGCATCCACTAGCAGCCGAGCTGGCGCTTCCACATGAGCTCAGGGAAGCCATTCTTTTCAATTTCAATGCAGCTGATCATGAAGTATTGAAGCACCGGGCGGCCTTCCTTGCAAAGTGGGTGTGTCGGGCGAAACAGCTCAGTTCCGATGAGTGCAGTCTTAAGGATAGAATGGACCCCAAAGTTGCTTCAGCTGTGCACAACAAGCGAATTTTAGTGTTCAAAGAGATGCTGATTGATACTGGTTTTCCTGACTTGGGTGTTGTGGACGAACTAATCACTGGTGCCAATCTCACTGGGGAGGTTCCGGCTACAGGTATGCTCCCTGGAAAGTTTACTCCGGCAGTTGCTACAGATGCAGAAATACGTGAGGCGGCATTACGCATTAGACCCAAGCTGGACACTGACAATTTGGGATCAGGTGACCCCATTATAGATGCAGAAATTTGGAGAAAAACGCTTGAGGAAGTGGAAAGGGGTTGGTTGCAGGGTCCGCTGCCCCGCAGCAGTGTGCCCGGTGACCAACCCATTTCCAGGCGTTTTGGCTTGTTGCAGAAGAAGGGCAAAGTGCGTCTCATTGACGATTTTTCGGAGTCAGGTGTGAACAGCACAGTAACTTCTGTTGAGTCACCTGTTTTACACACCATTGATGTGGCATGCGCAGTTTTGGCTTTCTGGTTTGGTTTGTGCAATGAGGACGATGTTGATCCCAGGCTTGTGATCCGAACTTTTGATTTAACGAGCGCTTACCGACAGGTAGGACTGTGTCAAGCTGGCCGAGATTTTGCTTGTATTCGAGTTTTTGATCCAAAGGACAAATGCATGAAGTACTTCAGATGCTGTGTGCTGCCATTTGGAGCAACGCGCAGCGTCCACACGTTTTTACGTTTGGCGAGGGCCATATGGTGGATTGGGACTGTAGGTTGCAAGTTAATGTGGACGTCATTTTACGATGACTTCATAACATGCAGCAAGCCAGCCCTATCTGGTTGTGCAGAAAGTACTGTGATTTCACTTTTCCGGCTTTTGGGCTGGGTTTTTGCGGAAGATGGTGACAAATGCCAACCATTTTCAGATTCTTGTGAGGCTCTAGGAGTAGCAATTAATTTGTCAGACTCTGAAAGGGGCCGAGCGACTATATGCAATACAGAGGCTAGGATCCAAGAGCTTTGTTCAGACCTGCAGGCAGTGCTGGATGAAGGTGTTCTCAAATCCAAAGTGGCGCAAAGGCTACGTGGAAGAATGCAATTTGCCGAAAGTCAATTGTTTGGCCGCACAGGCCGCAGGTGTCTTAAAGTTTTGAGTGACTTTGCGGAAGGCAGGAAGTTGAAACTGCAGCCCAAAGACAAGTTCTTTATCAATTTGTTCAAAGAGCTACTGCAGAACAACATCCCTAGAGAAGTTTGTGCTCTGGGCAATTGCAACGTGATTGTTTTCACAGATGCATGTTACGAGCGTGATAGCTTGGTTTGGCCTTGCGGTCTTGGCGGAGTATTGTGTGAAGGTGATGATAAGCTTTACTTTTCTTTGGAAGTGCCTGAGTATGTACGGCATGCTTTGGGCGAACTGGTCAAGAAGCAAATCATCTTTGAGGCTGAGACCTTATCAGCCGTAGTAGCCTTCATACTTTGGAAGCGAAGATTTGTGAACAAGCGATGCATTTTATTTGTGGACAATGAGGGTTCCAAGTTTTCTCTCCCCAGAGGGTCTTCCGACAATTCAGTTGTGGATAAGTTAGCTGGTTTCTTTGCAGAACATGAAGCTTCAGTTCATGCTGTCACATGGCTTGCGAGAGTGCCCTCTAAAAGCAATTTGGCCGACCACCCATCTCGCAATGATGTCAGTTTACCTTTCTTCAGGTCTGCAATCGATGTGTCCTCTGAAGCTTCTACAGTTTTGGAACAGCTTGTCTGCAGAATGTTGGAAGTTGGGGAGAAAGGCTGCGTGACAAGCCATAGTGGAAAAAGAAAGAAGCTTTGCTGATCTTTCAATGCGCATGTCAGAACGGGTTTGCAGAATAATGTGCATGTCACTTGAGACAAAACCTTATGAATGCAAATGCATGTTATCAAACATGCAACGTTCCTCTCAAGGGAGGGTGGGCGGGTTTCGTCACCTTTTTGACTTTCGAGACCCACCACCGTCCCCATTCACCACTTGGACACAGCTTGCAGCCTAGCCCTTACGCCATAGTGGAAAAAGAAAGAAGCTTTGCTGATCTTTCAATGCACATGTCAGAACGGGTTTGCAGAATAACCAATAGGTCTGAACCTACTGGAACCCGCTGGTATCTTTTTGGTTGTACAGTCCTTTGGGATCAATTTGCACCACGCCGAAAAATTGGGGAACCCCTGCTGCTGCAGCTTTTGTGTCATGTACGCTTATGGATGTCTAACCTATGTAAGTTGAAGCAAAGGAAACTGAAATGTGAACTTTAAAATTCGTCACCGTTACAAGAGCGGGGAGTCAACCGGTTGCCTTGTTTTTTATTTCTCCACTTGCTAAAAACAAACACCGATTTAGTAACATTGTTTTGTTCAACGTTCGTCCGTGAATGATTTTCTGCACATTCAAATTTCCCACATGCATCCTGCCATTGGGACAAAATTTCCTGCACGTGTTTATTTTTTGTCAAGTTGCTGCAACATTCACACCGACATTTGAAATCAAATTTGCCTTCGGTGAGACACATGTTGTTAACACGAACTTTCTTTACAGCATTCATTTCATGAATCTGAAGACGTCAAACATGATGAATTCGCACAATTCGCAGAATTTTAAGCGTGCATTGGGCAAATTGGGCCAAACATTTTCAGTGTTTTTCCGTGATTCTGATGAAACATGATCAACCTTGAATGTTGGATCGCACCACTATGACCTATATGTTTGACGATGATTTTAGTCACGGACAATGATGAAAATCTCTTGGATCAAAATTTTTCCTGAACTGTGTGGTTTTTTTTTACACAGAGAGTTGTGTTACTTTTCATCACATGAATTAGCAACTTCCACATTGTTTATGGATGTTTATGGCATCCAACGCTCTTGTCAACTCTTGTCGTCATGTTGGATCCTTCCATCGACACTGCATCAGGTGCGTCTGTCAAATTTTTGCATTGATTTGCTGCGAAAGCGGGTGAAAACAACAACAAATGGACACATCAACAACATTTTAACATATTTAGCCTTAATTTGGTTACTGATGTTTGTTATCGAAAAAAAATAAGGCATTGAAACATGCACAAAAATGAATGGGTAATCATTTGATGTTGTTGTTGAATGCATTAGATTTATCAACGATAATGATATGATAACTCTTACCAGAGACTTGGGAATTGATTGCCACAGTTAAAAAAGGTTTTATCAAGAAACGGGGTGTACCTCATGTTCAGGCAAAGCCATCAACCAGATCGTTCGCTGGATGGGAAATTACAAATCCATCCTAGGTATTCAATCTCAAAGACCAACAAGAGGAAACTTGTTGAACTAGCAGAAATGAATGGGTTTCGGGTCCCTGTTTCAGGGTCCCCAAGTTCAGACATTATTGGTTATGATGAATCCTTTTGAGCAAACCATACTCAATACAATGAGTCTTGACCATGGTTCACTGCGACAGAGGTCTTGGTTGGCCCACCAAAAAACTGAAGGCGATCTGGGTCTCCAGGTCGTGGCCCCAGAGCTTTGTGACCGCTTGGACACGTGAACGACCAGAATCAGATTTATTGATCTACCGGGTCGTATCCGGTGTATCCAAGTCCTTGTAGACTGGTGCAGTATTTGGAATCGAAGCCGACCACAGGCAAATTGATTGGTGAAAGGTAGTGAACAACATATGTTGTGTATGTTGTAACGATATCATAAACCATAAATAACTATAATATGTCTAGATGTTACTTTGGCACGTGGCCGAGGAGAGCAACAGTGGCAAGGCTGTGAACAGCTTCCATGAGGCCATGAGCAGCAACAAAACACCATAATCCGACACAGGAAGGTCGTAGTTGATGACTGATGTCCATTCTGAAACCCAGTTTGCCTGACTCACAGCTTGTGTTGTAGTCTTGTCCTCACAACATGGATCAACACATCCGACAGGTGATACTTGCGGCCAAACTCGAGTTGCTGGAGCCTGGAACTCAAGACTTGCAAGACACGAGAGCTCGCTCACCATCTCATTGCAGAAGTGTCTGATAACCAAACAAATCAAACCAATCAAACCAATAAAACCAATAAAACCATCAAACCAAGTTGTTTTGGATCATATTTTTTCGATCTTTTTGTTCCATTTGCAAGCACTTGTCAAAATGCAACATGCCATTGGTGTTGCGCGCGTTTTTTCACCAGTTGGCTCCTTTTGCTTCCACGTCATGTTTGCTCTGAACATGCCCATGTCGCTTTGGTGGTGGTCTGGTACACTGACCCTAATTTGCATAGTTCTTAGCATCATTGAGACGGGCTCTGCGGCTGCAGGCTTGCCGCCTTTTTTGACATTTGCCCTGTGTGGCATTTGTGCTTCAGACATGACGTGGCTTGGAACCAACGCCGGCTTCGAAGTGTTGGGCATGGAGATTGGACGCTGGAAGATTGCACCTGAACCCAAGCATCCAAACAGTGCAAGGACATATGAGTTTGCTTTGCAGCAGATCAGAGCAAAACTCAAAGGGTCTTGGTTGGACATGTCCATCTTCACGCTTGTTTGGTTTGCTGGCAATCTCTCCTTCAGCTGCGAAGTCAACGGAGTGTCAGTGGTCGGATTCCTGCTGATGATTACTTTGCTGGATTTCGGTCTCTCGTTATGGCACCGCATTTTGCACCTGCCATCCATGTACTGCTATCACAAGGTTCACCACTCAGTCCGCATCACGAAACCATGGACGAACGAGGTGGAGCATCCAGTGGAAGCACTGGGCAATGCCATCATCAAGTACGGCAGCCTTGTGTTGGTGTCCACTTGGTTTCAGCTGAGCCCCAAGGTCGCCTTTGCATATTTCATGTTCTCTACCTGGTATGGAGTGATGGTACATTCTGGCTACAACTTGCCACCCTTTGGTTGGATTTCGCAGATGCCAGCTTTGTCATTCATCATCACTCCCCAGCACCACCAGGACCACCACTTGCATGGTGGAAGGAACCTTGGGGCCATCACGTCCATTTGGGACACTTTGTTCCAGAAGGTTGTGGATGTGGGACTCTTCAGGCAGTCCGGGAATACCACCACCAGACTTACCAAGGAGCCTACGGAGACTACGGAGCCGATTCCTACGCAGCGCATGGGCAAACCTTGGCAGGTGAGTCTTCGCGACATCAATGATGACCAGTTGGCAGAGTTGGTGCAGGCTGTTCGCGCCCATGGCATGATTGTGATTCCACATCAATCCTGGAGTCTGGAGGAGCAGGAGGCATTTACCTCGCGCTTGGGGGAAGTCACTGCCACAGTGGTGGGCCAAGCTCCAGAGTACTTTGAGGCGCTTCCAGCTTTGAATTCTTTGAACTTCGGACCATTTTGGACCCTTAAGTTCCTTCAGTCATCTGAGTCATCTAACATCATTTAAACATATTTAAACTGGTTCAAACATGTTTAAACTACTTGGAAGACACTTATGGACTTATGCGAGGCACCCCGAAATCCTTTAAACACAACCTTTGAAAAATTGAGACGTATTCCCGCCACCAAAGGGCACTTTCCATGCTTGTTCCCCACCTGCGGGGTGAGGGTCTCTGCCTCCTCCTCCTCCTCTCCTCGCCGTCCTGATGGCCAGATAGAATGTCAGATAGCCCGCCAGGATCCGTCAGGCTATATGTCAGCAAGAATGCCGGAACATATGTCATATGTCATATGTCAATCGAAATGCCAGATAGAATGCCAAATAAAACTGTCAGAAAGTATGCCACAAAGAATTTCAGAATGTACGCCAGATAGAATGCCAGAATATATGTCAATTAGAATGCCACACAAAATGTCAGAATGTATGCCAGAAAAATGTCACGGTGGGGATCACTCGAAGTAAGGTAAAATCATCTTGCTTTTTGAATGTGGAATCTCAAAATCACTTGAAGGCTTTTTGCTTCAGCAGCACATCAGTTCCAATAATCGATCATTGGCCGATTATTTTTCAAACATTGTTGGCACAACCACCCGGTAATTTAACATAGCTATTGAAAATTGCCATTTATAGTGGATTTTCCCATTGAAAATGGTGGATCTTTCCATAGTTACGTTAGTTTACCAGAGGGTAAATGAAACGCTGGAGCTGCACACGAGACCCGGTGAGACCTGGTCCACTTGGTCCACTTGGTCCACTGGTCCCTGCGAGGTTCATCCCCGAATCGTTCGGCTGTCGAATTTTTGGGCCGATGGCACATGGAAAGGTCCAAAGTATCAGGGGGCAGAGGTGTGGCACCAAGATGGCGACTACATGAAGATGTCGCAACGCCACATCCTGACTGTGCTATGCGCTGACCAGGTTCCAAAATGTGGAGGCGGCACAGGTTTCGTAGATCTTGTGGCAGCTGCTGCAGCCTTACCAGCCTCACTGCGAGCTAAGGCTGAAGGCTTAAGCTGCTTCAGTTCGGCACGGAAAAATGCAAAGTACATGAAGAGAGACTTCACAGCAGAAGATGCAGAACGCTATCCTGACCAACGGGTACCTGTGCTTCATCGACACCCTCGTGATGGGAGGGAAGTGCTTCTGATGGGTTCAGAGCTATCAATCTTTGAGGATCTGGACCATCAGCCGGATCCAGAGACAACCCAGTCCCTGTTTCAGCACGTGCTGAATCCTCAGTGGATGTATTACCATCAGTACAAGCCAGGCGATGTCATCATTTGGGACAACTTGCAAACCCTTCATAAAGCATTGCCCTTCGTCAATGATGGGTCAGATTGTCGCCTTCTATGGCGTGCTCAAGCGCGGGTGACGGCCGCCTTCCAATGGTGATACTGACACGTGAGGATGCCCGAAGCTGGAGATTTAGCAATTCACTGTAAAGTTTGCACTGTAAATTTTGCACTGTACAGTCACTGTACAGCCTACTGCTTTGTAGGTGCAAGGTCTTGTTGTCTAAGCGGGCTTGGCAAATTTTATATGAGGTACTGTAATTCTTGGCCCTACAAACAATACGACACATTGTCCAACAGGGCCCAAAATGCCCATTTGCAACCGCAGAGTTGCAGCATCGGACACTTTGAAGCATTTCAGGCTTCTTCATGTTTGTTCACAACTGTTCTAGAAATGTTGCAAAATACTGACTGATCTGCCTCCCTGGGTGGGCCCGACTGGCCATTCCAGGGGGAAACCCGCCCAGGGAGGTCTGTGAGTCTGTTTCCTTTTTGCCATGTAATTTCCTCTCCAGACCCCTCAAGGGAGCGGTCTGTTTTTGCGATTCGTTTAGTCTTGGACTGGAGCACAAGCACTCTTTCTTCGAACTTGGAGAAGTGCAGTACGCTCCAAAGAGAAGCGCGCTAGCTGAGACGTTTTTCACATTGTAGCAGCGGCAGTCCAGAGTTGATTTGAGTTTGACCTTGGCGCTTAGTTGTAGCATATTTATTCTGAGCTTAACTTCTTTACTTTTTGATGTTGACATATAAACACCCAGGTGGTAATACTTGCGGCCAATGGTGCTGGAGTTGCTGGAGCCTGGAACTCAAGACTTGCAAGACGCGAGAGCTCGCTCACCATCTCATTACAGAAATGTCTGACGACCAAACCAATCAAAGCATCAAACCAAGTTGCTTTAGCAAGTTCGATTCATCATTTTTCGATCTTTTTGTCCCATTTGCAAGCACTTGTCAGAATGCAACATCCCATTGGCGTTGCGCGCGTTTTTTCACCAGTTGGCTCCATTTGCTTCGACGTCATGTTTGCTCTGAACATGCCTATGTTGCTTTGGTGGTGGGCTGGGACACTGACCCTAATTTGCATAGTGCTTAGCATCATTGAGACGGGCTCTGCGGCTGCAGGCTTGCCGCCTTTTTTGACATTTGCCCTGTGTGGCATTTGTGCTTCAGACATGACGTGGCTTGGAACCAACGCCGGCTTCGAAGTGTTGGGCATGGAGATTGGACGCTGGAAGATTGCACCTGAACCCAAGCATCCAAGCAGTGCAAGAACAGAGTTTGCTTTGCAGCAGATCAGAGCAAAACTCAAAGGGTCTTGGTTGGACATGTCCATCTTCACGCTTGTTTGGTTTGCTGGCAATCTCTCCTTCAGCTGCGAAGTCAACGGAGTGTCAGTGGTCGGATTCCTGCTGATGATTACTTTGCTGGATTTCGGTCTCTCGTTATGGCACCGCATTTTGCACCTGCCATCCATGTACTGCTATCACAAGGTTCACCACTCAGTCCGCATCACGAAACCATGGACGAACGAGGTGGAACATCCAGTGGAAGCACTGGGCAATGCCATCATCAAGTACGGCAACCTTGTGTTGGTGTCCACTTGGTTTCAGCTGAGCCCCAAGGTCGCCTTTGCATATTTCATGTTCTCTACCTGGTATGGAGTGATGGTACATTCTGGCTACAACTTGCCACCCTTTGGTTGGATTTCGCAGATGCCAGCTTTGTCATTCATCATCACTCCCCAGCACCACCAGGACCACCACTTGCATGGTGGAAGGAACCTTGGGGCCATCACGTCCATTTGGGACACTTTGTTCCAGAAGGTTGTGGATGTGGGACTCTTCAGGCAGTCCGGGAATACCACCACCAGACTTACCAAGGAGCCTACGGAGCCTACGGAGCCGATTCCGCCGATTCCGACGCAGCGCATGGGCAAACCTTGGCAGGTGAGTCTTCGCGACATCAATGATGACCAGTTGGCAGAGTTGGTGCAGGCCGTTCGCGCCCATGGCATGATTGTGATTCCACATCAATCCTGGAGTCTGGAGGAGCAGGAGGCATTTACCTCGCGCTTGGGGGAAGTCACTGCCACGGTGGTGGGCCAAGCTCCAGAGTACTTTGAGGCGCTTCCAGCTTTGAATTCTTTGAACTTCGGACCATTTTGGACCATTTTGGACCCTTAAGTTCCTTCAGTCATCTGAGTCATCTAACATCATTTAAACATATTTAAACTGGTTCAAACATGTTTAAACTACTTGGAAGACACTTATGGACTTATGCGAGGCACCCCGAAACCCTTTAAACACAACCTTTGAAAAATTGAAACGTATTCCCGCCACCAAAGGGCACTTTCTATGCTTGTTCCCCACCTGCGGGGTGAGCGTCTCTGCCTCCTCCTCCTCTCCTCGCCGTCCTGATGGCCAGATAGAATGTCAGATAGCCCGCCAGGATCCGTCAGGCTATATGTCAGCAAGAATGCCGGAACATATATATATATGTCATATGTCAATCGAAATGCCAGATAGAATGCCAAATAAAACTGTCAGAAAGTATGCCACAAAGAATTTCAGAATGCATGCCAGATAGAATGCCAGAATATATGTCAATTAGAATGCCACACAAAATGTCAGAATGTATGCCAGAAAAATGTCACGGGGATCACTCGAAGTAAGGTAAAATCATCTTGCTTTTTGAATGTGGAATCTCAAAATCACTTGGAGGCTTTTTGCTTCAGCACAGTTCCAATAATCGATCATTGGCCGATTATTTTTCAAACATTGTTGGCACAACCACCCGGTAATTTAACATAGCTATTGAAAATTGCCATTTATAGTGGATTTTCCCATTGAAAATGGTGGATCTTTCCATAGTTACGTTAGTTTACCAGAGGGTAAATGAAACGCTGGAGCTGCACACGAGACCCGGTGAGACCTGGTCCACTTGGTCCACTTGGTCCACTGGTCCCTGCGAGGTTCATCCCCGAATCGTTCGGCTGTCGAATTTTTGGGCCGATGGCACATGGAAAGGTCCAAAGTATCAGGGGGCAGAGGTGTGGCACCAAGATGGCGACTACATGAAGATGTCGCAACGCCACATCCTGACTGTGCTATGCGCTGACCAGGTTCCAAAATGTGGAGGCGGCACAGGTTTCGTAGATCTTGTGGCAGCTGCTGCAGCCTTACCAGCCTCACTGCGAGCTAAGGCTGAAGGCTTAAGCTGCTTCAGTTCGGCACGGAAAAATGCAAAGTACATGAAGAGAGACTTCACAGCAGAAGATGCAGAACGCTATCCTGACCAACGGGTACCTGTGCTTCATCGACACCCTCGTGATGGGAGGGAAGTGCTTCTGATGGGTTCAGAGCTATCAATCTTTGAGGATCTGGACCATCAGCCGGATCCAGAGACAACCCAGTCCCTGTTTCAGCACGTGCTGAATCCTCAGTGGATGTATTACCATCAGTACAAGCCAGGCGATGTCATCATTTGGGACAACTTGCAAACCCTTCATAAAGCATTGCCCTTCGTCAATGATGGGTCAGATTGTCGCCTTCTATGGCGTGCTCAAGCGCGGGTGACGGCCGCCTTCCAATGGTGATACTGACACGTGAGGATGCCCGAAGCTGGAGATTTAGCAATTCACTGTAAAGTCTGCACTGTAAATTTTCCACTGTACAGCCTACTGCTTTGTAGGTGCAAAGTTTTGTTGTCCAAGCGGGCTTTGCAAGTTTGTAACCGCAGCATCGGACACTTTGAAGCATTTCAGGCTTCATGTTTGTTCACAACTGTTCTAGAATTCTAGAAATGTTGCAAAATTCCGGACGATGATTCGTTTAGTCTGAGACTGGAGCACAAGCACTCTTACTTCGAACTTGGAGAAGTGCAGTACGCTCCAAAGAGAAGCGCGCTAGCTGAGACGTTTTTCACATCGTAGCAACGGAAGTCCAGAGTTGATTTGAGTTTGACCTTGGCGCTTAGTTGTAACATATGTATTCTGAATTTACCCTCTGGTAATTTAACATAGCTATTGAAAATGACCATTTGTAGTGGATTTTCCCATTAAACATGGTGATTTTCCATAGCTATGTTAGTTTACCAGAGTTTAACTTCTTTACTTTCTGATGGTGACATATAAACACCCAGGTGGTAATGCTTGCGGGCCAAGCTGGAGTTGCTGGAGTCTGGAACTCAAGACTAGACTAGGTTTAGTCACCATCTCATTACAGAAGTGTCTGACAACCAAACCAATGGATTGGATTAAGGGAAAATTTACTGGTTTAAGCCCCATATTTAATGGGAAAATCTATGGTTTCCTGTAAATTTTCCCATAAACCAATCAAACCAATCAAACCAATCAAACCAATAAAACCAATAAAACAAACCATCAAACCAAGTTGCTTTGGCAAGTTTGAATCATATTTTTTCGATCTTTTTGTTCCATTTGCAAGCACTTGTCAGAATGCAACATGCCATTGGTGTTGCGCGAGTTTTTTCACCAGTTGGCTCCATTTGCTTTGACGTCATGTTTGCTCTGAACATGTCCACTTATGTATGCCTTATCCATCCATTCTGAGCTTCCTTCTCTTACTTCTCTTCTTCGAGAAAAAACATAAATACGATTGAACTTTTCCATGATTGAAACCTTTGAAGGCTTCATTACACAGCTGAAATTTGGGTTTTGATCAGCTGAGTGTAGTGTATTTAAGCACATTTGATGGGTGCTTGAAAAGACCGGACATTTTCAGACAGGTGACAGGTATGGACGAGGATATCCTAGCCAGTCCCTCAGTTTGGGTTGGCCAATCTTGGTGTGCCCAGATAACGCAGACGACCTGTGACTGGTGGTACTTGTCCTTTTCAAAAACCAAACACACCGGCGCCGAATGTGATCACAGTTGAGTCGGATGAACAACACATCTTTTGACAGTACAATTGGAGTAATACATTCACTGAAAATCTGCCAAAACAATGGGAAAATGCAGGAGAAATTGTTTCTGACTTTGAAGCACGACGTGAAGATGAACAACATTTTTTTCGAGCAAAGACATGTGTTCTTCTCAGTCACATTTTTTAACATCAGAGATTGACAGACGGTCTCTTTTCAACTCTGATCGGCGTCCCAGATTTTCCCAGTGTCAGGATGGAAGTGGAACAATGGGCGAAAATCAGTGCGGAACCAGTGCGACAGAGCCTCAGCCACATGCCTATATGCCTCATTCTCTTGGTACTTGTGTCACATGTGTCACATGTCTCACCTTCTTTGATCAAAGAATCAGAATCACTCCAGCGTCACGAGATCCAACGAATGATTCTTAGGTTCTTCGGTGTGATGCCCTGGGCGTTTGCTACTGGACTTGGCTGTTTTGGCTCCTGAAGCCTACTGCCCCACTTCGCAGTGCAGACCGGACCGCCTCTGGCCAAAGGTTGAGAGAGCCATGTCCACGCAATCAGAGGCGGAGGTCAAAGCTGCAAAGCGCTTGTTCAACTGGAGACTCTTCATCGTTGGGGCTATGAGGCTCATTGACAGCATGAACGTGAACATGATCATGCCATACGGACTCCAGATGGTGGCAATGTTTCTGAATCAGGAAACATCTAGTCCTGAAGCTAGTACTGCCTTTGCGTGGCTCGTTGGGCTTTACTCCTTCTTCGAGATCATTTTCTCACCTTTCTGGGGTGTGGTGGCGGACTGGATCGGCAGGAGGCCTTGCCTTCTGATTGGTATGGCTGGGACGGCCATGGCACCCGTCCTGATGGGCCTGGGCCAATCCTTGAGTGCGGTCTTCCTGTTCCGTGCCTTGGATGGCTTTTTCTGTGGGAACCAGGCGGTGATTCGCACCTACCTGGGAGAACTGGTCGACAAGGGCAGCGAGGCGTCTGCCTTCAGTTTTCTGGTTCTGTGCTTTGTCCTGGGCCTCATTGCAGGGCCGTTCCTGGGTGGCTTGGCTTTCCCTGCACGTTGGTCACCGGAGCTGTTTGGCCAAACACTCTTCGATCAATATCCTGTCTTCTTGCCGAACCTTTTGTTTGGAGTCTTCGCCACCATTGTTTGCATCATCGGCTTCATCTACCTGGAGGAGACATTGCCCAAAAGCAAGCTCCGCTGGCGCAAGAAGGAAGGCCTTGAAGGCCTTGAAGGCCTTGAAGGCGAAGGAGTTGGAGTTGACCAGGATCCTGAGGCTGCCAGCAACGCGGACAGCGTCGAGACGGCAGACACCGACACGGCAGACGCGGGCACGGCTGGCAAGAAATGCTGCTATTCACTGACTGTGCTCCAGGTCATCCTCACATTCTGTGGAATCTCCGGTGTGGTGGAGGCACAGAACACCTTGGTTGTTTTGCTGTGGCAGTACCCGCAATCTATGGATGGGTTCGGGTTCAGCCCACAGCAAGTCAGTTTAGTCCAAGTCTCAGGTGGTTTGGGTCCAGTTCTGTGTCACCTGACTTTCCTCCATCCTTTGGTCAAGAAGCTTGGCTTCTTGAAGGTTCTCCTGCTGGGCTTTCTGATCAACAGCATCTCCTACAACCTTTACCCGGTCTACAGTCTCTGTGCTGATCCGAAGTATGGTGTTTGGAGATACATCATCTTGGGCCTTGCTGAGTTTGTGGGGATGATTGGGACCTTCATGATGTTCACTGCCATTTTTGTTTTCATGAACCGTGCCTCCGTTGGTCTGAATCGAGCAACGGTCAATGGCTGGGCGAACTCCGGTCGCGCACTGAGCCGTGCGGTGTCGCCCCTTTTCGCCACAACGCTGATGCGTGCGGCAGAAGCGTTGCCACATGGAATCCACATGCCTTTCTATGTTACAACTGGCTGCTTGGCCTTGTGTTTGGCCATCTCATGGACTGGGCTGCGCAAGCTGGACTCAGCATGACACATATGACAAATCATGGCACCAGTGGGTTCCTATGCCTTTCATCCCGAGCATTCCTGTCTTGAGATGAGGATCATCCCATGATGAGCTCTGCAGGAAAGCCCTTTCCCGTTTAGTCTTCGTTTAGTATTCGTTTAGAGTTTTGTACAGGTGGTACTTTGGCTGAGAGGCGAAAACTCGCCATTGTGAAGTCTGTAGAGTCTGTAGAGCTCAGCCAGCGGGTCACCACAAGTGCCACAACGTTCGGGCGTTCTGAAGAAAAGGAACTGGCACTTGCGGGGCCCCTCTCAACCGTGTCCAATTCTCTTGGCGTCCTAAGCAGGTTTTTCCATGGGTTTTTCACCTGGGCTGATGATAGACATTAGTGAATACATCAGGGTGCAGCAGGGTCATGGTCTTGCGGTGATCGAGGTGCAGTCGAGGCAAGTGACAGCAAAACCTGTGCGCCTATGCCCCCCTCCAGTGTCACCAAATTTGTACTTACAGGGCAAATCCCCTTTGCCGCCTGCTTCATCTCCCCTTCAAAGTCTAGTTCCTCCTCTTACAGGGACCAGGTGGTACCATTGATGCATGCAGCTACCTTGGGAACTGCTTGGGCAATCTTGTGCAGCAACAACCATAGCAACAACACAAACGTCTCAAAAACTGCCCAAGTGCCAGCAACCAAATCAAAATGTTGGAGCCACAAACAGGAAACACGCACAAAAACATGGGAAAGACAACAGAGTGACTGAGGAACAACAACTGCGAGAGCAAGAGCATCTCCAAATGCCAATGTCATCATTTTAATACACTGGGCCCACCCAGTTGGAGGGATTATGACAGCACGATGAATCCTGTTGGGGAATCCATACTCAATAGAATGAGTCTTGACCAGGGCTCACTGCGACAAAGGTCTGCGTTGGCCCACCAAAGAGCTGAAGGCGATCCGGGTCGTGGGGTCGTGGTTTGAGAGCTTTGTGACCACTTGGACACGTGAACGGCAGGAATCAGATCTACTGATCTACTGAGTCGTATTCGGTGTATCCAAGTCCTTGTAGACTGGCGCAGTATTTGGAATCGAATCCGACCACAGGCAAGTTGATTGGTGGAAGGTAGCAATATGTTGTAAGTTGTAAAGATATCATAAACGATATGTCTAGATGTGCCCTACTTTGGAGCAGTAACAAAACACCACAATCCGACAGAGAAAGTTCGTTGTTGATGACTGTTGATGTCCATTCTGAAGCCCAATTTGCATGACTGGCCAGTCTTGTCCCAGGCAGGGCCAAGGGTCTGACGGGCGCGACTCGCGGCGCGACCGCCAAAAAATGCCATGAATCGCTGACCTTTGGCGGCACGGAAGCAGAATGGCAGTGATGTGACGCAGGATGTCTCAAGATTTAGATACATTACATCAGATGGTCAGGTTGCAGGTTTCTTTAAGTTTGAAGCTGTGAGGGTTTTTAGTGCGTTTGTTTGGTGAATTGGGGTGCTATGTTGTGGTCGGAAGGCAAGCGGAAATCATGTGGATGTTGATTCCAGACTTCCAATGAAATCGTTTCAGTCCAGACTTGGATTAAGGAGAAATTCAAGGTGGTAAATCCCCTGACCTTGTCTGAAGGCGATTGCAAAAGAGAGAGAGGGAGAGCGAGAGAGAGATAATACAACGCATGGTTATTATAGACTATGTACCCTTTGGTAATTTAACATAGCTATTGAAAATCACCATTTATAGTGGATTTTCCCATTAAAAATGGTGATTTCCCATAGTTATGTTAGTTTACCAGAGGGTATGTATCATGCACGTATACGCAACCAGTATTGCGAGACGCCTGGGAATGCCTTGCCATTGAAGATTTCTGGGCTCAGGCGCGTGTGCTCCGCGGCCGCGTCGAAGTGTTGATGGTGTTGACGAGGTGGCCACGACACTGCTGGTGTTTCGAGTCATGCCACATTGTTTTATGGGTTTCAAAAACATACTGTGTATATATATATATATATACATATATTATATTATATATACGGGCTAAATTGAGTAAATTCTAACACTCCATGGTTTACTCCATGATTTATTGTGAGGAATCCATGATCAACTCTTCCATGGTTTCCCTGGCTCCAGGTTCTTTGGTCGCCCAGGGGTTCGCCCCAGGGTATTTGAGGTGCCACCTGAGAACTCAGGGTGCCGTGCGGATCAAGGGGGGCCGTATTGGATGAATATTGAATAGACGACATGTGAATTTGATATGTTCTGATATAATTTTGATATATGTTGATTTGATTTGATTCGATTGATTGATGCTGTAGATAGTTGTTGCTGTATCTGATTCTGCCAGGACGACAAGACCCCAATGGAGAAATTGCTGGCGTTCCAACGGAGTCATCAGGTGCCAAGAGAGTCACCTGACCATCGTCTGCTCCAATGGTAGCAGGTTTCCTAAGTCATGGGGGTACCCCAAAATGGATGGTTGTTTATAATAGAAAATCCTATTTAAATGGATGATTTGGGAGTAACCACCATTTGAGGAAACCTCCACAGAAGCGTGTATAGATCTCTAAAAATGGTAAGGATCTCACTGTGATGTCACTCAAGCTGCAGAGTGAGTTCGTGTGCTCGGTGAATGATCCAGGGATACGCAGGGTGGATTGTCCCTTGTCCATCCTTGTCCATCAGAGAAAATTGTATTACCCTCTGGTTATTTAACATAGCCATGGTATAGATGGACCATTGAAATAGATGGTTTACCAATTAAAAATGGTGGATTTTCCCATGGCGAACTGTGAATATCATAACCAGGTTGGGTAACACTTGGGAGGTCCCTTCGCCAGTGGCTTCTTGGCTCCAGGTGATCTATTGCTGGTGCATACTCTGCGCCTGGACCCATGTTGGGATGTGGCTTGGTATTGCAATTGCGTACAACTACCATACTCCACACCAGGAGGCGAAATGCTTACACCCAAATCCGCACGAGCTGTCGAATGTTGTTTGGTGGCAGCTTTGTGACGTAAAAACATTTTGTTGCCACTTAAAGGATCTTAAAGGGCTTTTTGAGCAGCAGATGGCAGCATATTATTTCTTCCATCCAACTCTTGCCAAATGAAGAATCATAGGCCTTGATTTCCAGATCTTCGTCTGTGAATGCCGGGGTCTCCATCGGCCTGGAAGCCCAATGGGCAGTGTCTCTACGCATTCATTCATCCATGTATTTTGTCGGGTAGCTGTAGCCATTCTTGTTTCCAGAAATCCAACTTTCCGGCGATCTTTTGTTCACTGAATCACTACCTCAGACACCCAGGTTTGGACACAAAATGAAGAGCATCTCCTCTGAATGGACTTCTGCTGAGGCCCAGATGGACGGCATTCATGTGATATCATGTGATTGTATTATTGTATATGATTATGTGATGATTTTTAAGTTGATGTTTCGCCCAATCCCACCACGGGGTCAGGTGGCTACGCTTGAAGAAGGTGGCAATGAAGCAGCCAGAGCAAAGTGGGGGACTGAGCTGGGGCATTTTTGAATTTTGATATTTTTGGCCCAGCGATGTGGTGAGGTGGCCAAAGTGACTAATGTATACTAATGTGGGTAAAACAATGATAAAGAACCACATTTTTGATGGTTTATACCACCCATTTATGGTCATTTTGGGGATGGTTTATTATGGTTTTAACCACATTATAGTTCTGGAATCATATTTTTTACTTTGAGATATGTTCAAGCACCTGATTTCTCTGGAAGACACATTGCAAAAGTACCATAGTCAGTACCTGCTAATATAGGACCCGATGTCAGATTACGCCTAATGTGTCACATCGAATGTGCCGGCTGCCAGGCTGGCTGGATGGCATGAAGATATCTTTCCAGAACCAGATGGGACGAATCCGGACAGCAAAAGCTGGGCATCTGGGCTGGGTAGCAGCGGGTAGTGGTTGAAACTGCCCAATGCCTAGATAGAAACAGATCAATATGGATTCGAATATGGATGTGGTGAGGGCCTATCTGTGTCAACATGGTCAATGGAACTTGAATGTTCTTCTTAACACAGTCTTCGATGTATTGGCAGATCAATCGTCATTTGGATCGGAGCCGGGCCACCCATTTTCAAGCAACTTGAGGTACAGTATTTGTTGTTCAGTTTGATAAGGCCAGTTAAAGTCCAATCACCGAGAATCATGTTGTTAAGGAAATATGTACCCCCAAGACCCTGAGTCCCCCTTTCTTTTCAACACTCAACTTGCCTCAAAAATGACTGGCCTGGAGGAAGCAGTTCGAGACTTTATCGGGCTGAAATACGTGGAAAAAAGGTGGTTTGGACCCTGGGATGGGCCTGAAATGCCTAGGAAGCCATTGAAAAATATCATGTGACTTGAAGATGTTTGACTGTTTGACTGGCATATCAGAAGATTCTATGTAGGAAACAAATTGGGAAAAATAAGCCTGACCTGCTCGTTCGCTTTCAAGAACCATTCCTGACTCCAACGATTTCATTTTCTGTTTTATGTCGATGACTCGGAAATTTTTTACTATATAATGAGCTACTAGCAATTGACCGCCCACCATGCATATTTATTCCGATTGCGTTGTTTCCCATTAGGCGTGCGCCTGGCGCCAAGCCGGCAGCAGTCACTCAGGCATGGCGAGTTGAGCCATTCTTTTTAAGAATGGCTCATGGATCTCATGGTCATGTTGAAACATTCAGATCTATCAGGGATGATACTCCGTGCCAGTTCTTATGCAGAATGCAAACTAGGATAATGAAAGAGATAGCCAGCAACAAAAGCTACTTCAATTCATCCCCATACCATTTGTTTTATATTTCATATCACTTGTTTTGCGTCACTGGAGCAGGCAGCACAGACCGCCACATGGCTCATAAGGTGAATTCTCGTCCTGAGCCAAAGAACTACTCGTCCCTCTTGTCCTCCTTGAGCCTTTGAAGAAGACTCCTTTCAAGTTGAAATCTGTCGGAAACTTCAACAGTTCGAAGAGAACCCCTTTGGACCTTTGCATGTTTAAAGAAAATGGGTGGAGCACTGGCAAGCTCATTGGTCACCACACGCTTCCTTCTTGTGTTGCAATGGTGCAATCTCTGGGAGATGCGCTGGAAGGGGCAGAGAACAGCTTTGATGTTCTGGTCCGCTTGGTGCAGCGCTTCCCTTAGGAATTTCAACCTTTACTCTCATCGTTTCAGCGGCCTTTTCAGTTTGCAGCCAGATGATTGAGCAAGGAAAGTTGTGCAGACATGTGCAGCCTGCATTTTGCCCGGCAGTCCCAAATTGTTCTCATCACCACCATCACCACCATCACCACCGTCATCACCAGCATCGCCATCTAAGGATCTTCGGCCACTCTGATGTGTGCGAGCTCATCACGGTCACCTCGGAGAAGTCAGGTATAGAAGATGAAATCCTGTCGTTGACGGTGAGTTTCCGTGGTTTGCGAGGCAAGTTGCA